GTCACAGTTCAATTCCTGGTCAGGACATATACGTGGGTTGCAGGCTTGCTCCCCAGTGAGGGAGGAAAGGGGACAGGGGCTTAGGAAGCAGCTGATCAATGATTCTCTCTCATCATTGATGTTTCTATCTCTCTCTCCCTTCCTCTCTGAAATCAATAAAAATATATTAAAAATGCAAGTATGCATTATCTACACAAATCAGGCACTTTATGGAATACAAGGGCCCACACCATCAACAGAACATTAGAAAGGTTAACATCTAAAGGGCAAACAAGAATCTGTATGGTCACCGAAACCAGTTTGGCTCAGTGGTAGAGCGTCAGTCTGCGGACTGAAAGGTCCCAGGTTCGATTCCGGTCAGGGGCATGTACATTGGTTGTGGGCACATCTCCAGTAGGGGGTGTGCAAGAGGCAGCTGATCGGTCTTTCTCATCAACGTTTCTAGCTCTCTATCTCTCTCCCTTCCTCTCTGTAAAAAATCAATAAAAATATACTTTTTTTTAAAAAAGAATCTGTATGGTATTTATCACCACAAAGTAATATTTTATACCTTAGAAACTATGAAGACTATTATTCACTCATTATTAACCACTTACATAAAGCTTACCTAATAAGAACACCTTGCTGACTGGTCATGAAATAACTCGTTTCCATATCCAAATGTGTCCACACCAATTATCTCATGACCGGTCAGCAAGGTGCTAAGTTAAAAATATGAATGAAAATATACATGTATCCTGCCCTCAAACAGTCTTTTATAATATGAAATTGGTAAAACAGTTTCAGGGTCAGATCAGATTCTGTGAATACCTATTGATTATGTAACTAATACTATCACTAAAATTCAATTGGCAACATCCTTTAAAGGAATTTAAACTATTTCCGCTAAAGAGCATTATTTTATCTTCAGGTTTTCATCATAATTCAAGATCTTATACCAGAACAAGAGATGATCTAATCAAATTTATTGATCCCCTCTTTGTTTTCTGCTCTAAAAATGGTCAACCATTTATAGGCAGCTCCAAAAGTGGGAAACTCTTCCTTATAAATTTTTTTTCCTCATGAAATTTTTAATAACACAATCAATCACGCTCATGTCAGCCAGGAAAGGAGCTCAGTGCCCATTCATAAACCCAGCTTCCCAAGACTTGGAATCTCCTATTTGGTATAGTAAACACCAAGAGACACCAAACTAAAAAGTTACCTGATTTACACTAACACAGTATAAATAAGAATACTCTTCTTCAGAGATTTTCAACACTTGTGCCACAAGAATTTTCAACATGCAATACTTGACTATTTGGTCAGGGGCACTGACTTCTTTTCCCTTAGATTGTTAAATTTAAAAAATAACAACAGCCAGCCGAAACCAGTTTGGCTCAGTGGACAGAGCATCGGCCTGCGGACTGAAAGGTCCCAGGTTAGATTCCGGTCAAGGGCATGTACTACCTTGGCTGTGGGCACATCCTCAGGGGGGGGGGGGGGGGGGGGGGGGGTGCAAGAGGCAGCTGATCAATGATACTCTCTCATTGATGTTTCTAACTCTCTCTTCCTCTCTCTTCCTCTCTGTATCAATAAAATTCAAAAAAAAAAATAATAACAACAGCCATCACAACAACAGATGTCCAATATGAATGCTCTGTCTTGAACTATAAATATACTATAGGCCAGGTAACAAGAAATTCATGCACAGGGAGAGGAGTCCCTCAGCCCGGCCTGCACCCTCTCCATCTGAGACCCCTCGGGGGATGTCAGACTGTCTAGCAATTGGGGACCACTGGCTCCTAAGGGCTCGCCCCATGCCTACCTGATAGCCCCTCACTCCTCTGCCTGCCTACCTGATGGCCCCTCACCCCTCTGCCTGCCTACCTGCTTGCCCCTAACCCCTCTGCCTGCCTGCCTGATTGCCCCTAACTGCTGGCCTGATCGCCCCTAACTGCCTCTGCCTTGCCCCTGCACCCAGGACTTGGGCTTCCCTCCCTCTGGCCAGCCACAGGCACCAAGGACCCAGGCCGGCTTCGCCCAGGCTGGCTGCAGGCACAGGAGACCGTGGGTGGGCAGCTTTGCCCCAGCCGCAGCCGCAGGAGCCCAGGACCACAGGGCGGGCGGCTTGTCCCTCTGCTGGGCTGCAGCCCCAGCCGCTGGTGCCCGGGACCCCAGAACGTGTGGCTGTCCCTCTCCAGGGCCAGGCCACGGGCACAAGCATAGCCGCTGGCGCCCAGGACCGCGGGGAGTGCGGCTTGTCCCTCTCCCGGGCCGCAGCCTGGCTCGTCCCCATTCCTCTCTCCCCACTGTTGAGTGTCTGAGCCTTTACAGTAAGTCAGTGTGAGGGCATGACGACCATTTATTACATTAATATTAGCTCTTTATTATAAAGGATATTATATAGGATGTGTAATCAATTAAGACAAGCAAGTTCTCAAGGCTGGGGCAAGACCAGCTGGAAATTCTTCCTCAGAAATGCTAAATGCTGGTGTGCTTGCTTAGGAGAAAATGCTCTGCAGAAATAAAGTAATGATTTCCTAAACTGCAGACCCTCTGCTCTGTTCTTTAATTGTTCTAGGAAATAGAAAATATATCAAGTATTGTGTGGTTTGATTACCTGTGAGGCTCAGTACTGAGGGTTTTAAAAGAATTATCTAATTTAATCCTGACATTTTCTGGAATAGACATCATTACCCATGTTTCCCTGAAAATAAGACATCCTCTGAAAATAAGACCTACTTACAGGTTTCCTTCTGAGTGAAATATAAGGCATCCCCACTAGGCTAAACATGAGAGATTTGGTCCACTGATTTTGAAAGAAATGGAGTCACAAGAAATTCACCAGGAAATTCAGGAATTGGATTGTTATGATGATGTTCCAGAAGATGATGACATGATTGTCATTGAATAAATGAGTAAATTCTTGATACTGTAGAATTCACAGTTTGTCTGGTTTGTGTTGACAACTACCATACTACCGTACCGTATACAGGTAATAAATTTCCTTTATTTTCATTTAACAATAAATGTGTACCGTATTCTTCTTCATGGAAAAATAAGACATCCCCTGAAAATAAGACCTAGCGCATCTTTGGGAGCAAAAATTAATATAAGACACTGTCTTATTTTCAGGGAAACAGGGTACTTCCATTTACAGATGAAAAAACTGAAGCTGAGAGGTGAATATTGGCCTGAGTATTTTATTCATTTTGGTGCTATTGGAAATGAGATCGTTTTCCTAACTTCCTTTTCAAATAGTCACTAATGTATAGAAATGCAACTGAATTTTGATTTGCATACCGTGACTTGACTAAATTTAATAGTTCTAACATGTTTTTTCTTGTTAAAGGATTTTTTAGGATTTCCTATATATAACATATCTGCAAAGTGGGACAACTTTACTTATCCCTTTCCAACTTAAAGGTCTTTGTTTTCTTCTTACCTAATTCCCTGGCTAGGACTTCAGTACTATGCTGAACAGAAGTGGCAAGAATGGGTATCCATGCCTTGTCCCTGATCACGGTATCACTTCACATCTGTTAAGATGACTATCATCAAAAAAGAAGGAAAAAGATGAGGATGTGGAGAAATTTGAACTTCTGTATACGGCTGGTGGGAATGCACAATTGATGCAGGTACTACGGGAAACAGTATGGAGGTTCCTCAACAAATTGAAAATAGCGCTACTCCGTGATCCAGCAATCCCACTTCTAGGTGTTTACCCACAAGAATTAAAATTGGGATCTTGTTGAAACCGGTTTTGCTCAGTGGATACAGCTTCCACCTGCAGATGTTTCTGACTCTTTCCCTCTCTGTCAAAAATCAGTGTTTATAAAAATAAAAATAAAAATCGGGATCTGGAGGAGATATTAGCACTCCTATGCTCACTGGGGCACAACTAGCAATAATCAAGATGTGCAAACAACCTAAACATCCAGGGACAGAGGAACGGATAAACAAAACGTAGTATGTGCATACATAGAATGGAATATTACTCAGCTTTAAAAAAAAAAAAGAAAAAAAAAGAAAAAGAAGAAAGAAAATTCTACATATGTGAAAACATGAATGAGCCAATTCCAGAAAGGACTACTGCATGACACTATTTATATGAGGTATCTAAAATAATCAAAGTACAGAATTAAATAATAGAAGCCAGGGGATGGAGAGATTGGGGGAAGGGAAGTTAACAGGCATAACGGTTCAGTTCAGCAAAACGAAGACGCTCTTGAGATTTGCTGTACAACATGGTACCTACTTCAACCATATACCATTACTGTGCCCGTAGAAATTTACCAACAAAAACAGACCCAGAGAAAGAGAAGCAGCGATCAGACTCTCAAACCTCAGAGGGAAAGTAGGGGAGGGTGGGAGTAAGGGGAAGGGATCAACCAAAGGACTTGTGTGCATGCATATGGGCCTGGCCAGTGGCCATGGACAACAGGGAGCATATGTGGGGAGGGGTTTGGGATGGGAATGGGGGGATGAGGACAACTATGTGATACCATAATCAATAATAATAAAAAATTTTAATTGCCAAGTGGTTAGATGTCTTGTCAAGTGTTCTTACCACAATGGGACCGTTTTGTTTTACATTGGCCCATTTCAAACTGACAGATCCTTGCTCTGACTCAACCACATACACCGACTCTGAGCCCAGCAGAAGGTACTGACAGTTCTCTGCCATCGCGGTGGGACGGCGGGGAATTGGCTCAACAGGTCTGGGTCGGCGTTTCCTCGCCATCAAAACGAGTCTCCGCGGAAAGGCAGGCAGCGCCCACCGGTCGGTCTGCAGTCAACGCCGCGGGCATCCGCAGGGCCGAGGGGGTGCGACTAACGCCCGGCGCCCGGCGGGACCCGCGCCTCCTCAGCCCAGGCAGGCGCCAGGGTGCGCAACGTCCTGGGAGGAAAGGCACCAAGTCCGGCCCCGCTGGGTCACCACCACCCAAAGGAAAGGCCAGCCCACGGCCAGCCCACGGCCTCGTTTCCTAGGCAGCTGGACCAAAACCTCGGCTCACCTCCGCCCGGATTCGCGAGCTGGCACCTCCCCTTCATTCAGCGCCTCAGTCGCCATCTTCGTCAGCCAACTTCTTTCACCGCCCCCCACGGTAGACCCCGCCCCCCGCGCCCTTGGATTGGCTAACGTGTTTCCCCCTCTCCCACACGATTGGATGACTTGACCGCCCCTTCCAAGCCAGAGCAATCTCATTATTGTTCATGATCTTATTGGTCTATTCAAATACCTATCCGTCATTGGTCGCCTCTTGTCCTGGCGGACTAGACAATGGTTGGGGCGGGGGGGGGGGGGAAAACACAGCCCCGAGGCCTGCCGGGAGTTGTAGTTTCTTGCTTGCGTTCACCCTTCGGACTCCACCGGGTTTTAGGTTCAAGTTAGATACCGGCAGCCTACGCTCAAATTTGTTCTGATGTATAAATCTCAAAATTAAAAAACTGTTGAGCCGAAACCGGTTTGGCTCAGTGGATAGAGCATCAGCCTGCAGACTGAAAGGACCCAGGTTCGATTCCGATCAATGCTATGTACCTTCGTTGCAGGCACATCCCCAGTAGAGGGTGTGCAAGAGGCAGCTGATCCATAATTCTCTCTCATCGATGTTTCTAACTCGCCATCCCTCTCTCTTCCTCTCTGTAAAAAATCAATAATATATATATATATTTTTTTTTTCCTTAAACTGTCGAATTTAAAAGTCACTCTCCAAAATGCAAGATTTCGTTTTCTATCTACAGAAATACCTAGGAAGGTGGGTATAGAGTGGCAACCAAGAAACACTATTAAATTACTATGAAATTTAGTTCACAGCCTGCGTTTTTCAGATGGTCACAGAGCATAGCGGTAGGTTATTTATGCTTCATTCCACCCGCTGTCCACCGGCTTCCCGGAGAACCCACAGTTTGCCTCTCTAGTCTGAATCCTGGAACAAAAATCTGCATAACTTTGTACCTGGATGAGCTTTCATCCTCAGTGGTAGAAATAACCATAATTATGCTTGTCCTCCTTGCCTCAGGGTGAAGATGAACTGAGGCAGCAGATATGAGAACGTTGGAAACTGAAAGCATTATTTTTTTCTTTTTTTAATATATATTTTATTGATTTTTTTACAGAGAGGAAGGGAGAGGGATAGAGTTAACATCCATGAGAGAGAATCATCTATCAGCTGCCTCTTGCACACCCTCTACTGGGGATGTGCCCGCAACCAAGGTACATGCCCTTGACTGGAATCGAACCTGGGACGTTTCAGTCCGCAGGCTGACGCTCTATCCACTGAGCCAAACCGGTTTCGGCAGCATTATTTTTTTTTTCTGTATTCTTTTTCTATGCTGGATTTTTCTAAGGGTTATTTTCTCTATTGTTCCTTCTGACATCCTTTCAACAAAGGTTCTCCATCTCTTTCCATGTGTTTCTTTTTTTTAAATATATTTTGATTTTTTTACAGAGAGGAAGAGAGAAGGATAGAGTTAGAAACATCGATGAGAGAGAATCATCAATCAACTGCCTCTTGCACACCCCCCACTGGGGTTGTGCCCGCAACCAAAGTACATGCCCTTGGCTGGAATTGAACCTGGGACCCTTCAGTCCGCAGGCCGACGCTCTATCCACTGTGCCAAACCGGTTTGGGCATCTTTCCACATGTTTCAGTTTCTCCTCAGTTCTTCTCTGCCTTAGAGCCTTCGCATGTGTTGCTTGCTTGTTCTGGGCCCAATTTTCACTGAATTATATTTCTGATCTCAGCTTAAATGTCACTGGTCCAGATGCCTTCCATGGACCCCACTTATAAATCGCTTCCCCTACTAAACTTTCACATAGCACTCTGTATTCTTCCTTCATAGCTCTTATCACCATTTATAATTATATAGCTGTTTGTGTGAACATTCATTTCATGGGAAGTTTCCCAACCAGACCTCCTGCCACCAGTGGGCAGAGACTACTTCTATTTTTCTCTCTGGCACATAGTGGCTTTTCAAATCGATATCTTTTACACAAATTTTAGATGGCGGTGGGGGGCTTTTTTTATTTTCAATTACAGTTGACATGCAATATTATTTTATATTAGTTTTTAGGTGTACAGCATAGTGTTTAGATAATTATATAATTTATGAAGTTATTCCACCCAATAATTCTAGTAACCACCTGGTACCATACATAGTTATTACGATTTTATTGACGGTATTCCCTATGCTGTACTTTGCATCCCCATAATCTTTTTTTTTTTCTTTTTCTTTTTTATTGTTTGGAGGATTACAAACAGTAGTACATACGTCTCCTTTTTCCCCCCCTTGGCCTCCCCTACGCACCCTCCCACCCCCGCATATGCCTTCACCTACCCTTCTACCCCCCGCCCCCATGATCTTTTGAACAAATTAACAAACAAGTCCTCAGACTATTTATATTATCCAAACCAAAACTTGAATCACATGTTCTAATAGATGGTTTCAATTAATGAGAATTCATATTAAAAATTGAAAAAAGTATCAAATAAAACTGCATTTAGTTTCATGTTTAACAAATTGTTTTTATTGAGCAAATACATGAAAAGAAACACAGAATTCAGCAAACAAGTAGCAGTGGAATTTTTCATTGAACCCCAAACAACCTTGGAAAATCCAGCCTCATAATTTACATACATGTAAATTACACACACACACCCACACAAGGCAGGGGACCAAACTCTCAAATTCTGTCCTTCTTTGAAGTATGAACAAAGTTTTTTCCTGCTCCACCAATTGATTGACAGATTAAATGAAACTGATGCTTTCACACAGAGGAAATACTCAAAACTTTAAAGTATCACACAACTATATTTCTGATTCATCTGTTTTGATGACATTTTTATATAAAGTGCCTTAATGTTTGGGGAAACACAGCAAATATTTAAGAGCATGGACTCTGGAGTTAGCCTAGGTTTAAATCCTGGCTCCATCGCTTCTGGCTGTGTGACCCCAGGCAAGTTTCTTAACTTTTTTTTTTTAACATATTTTATTAATTCTTTACAGAGAGGAAGGGGGAGAAATAGAGAGCCAGAAACGTCGATGAGAGAGAAACATCGACCAGCTGCCTCTTGCTCACCCCCTACCAGGGGTGTGCCGACAACCAGTGTACATGCCCTTGACCGGAATCGAACCTGGGACCTTTCAGTCCGCAGACCGTGCTCTACTGCTGAGCCAAACCGGTTTCGGCTACTTAACTTTTTTTTTTTTTTTTTTTAGTAAGTGGGTTTGACAGCAGGGTGAGGGGAGGGGAGGCATCCACTTGTTGTTCCACTTATTTATACATCATCGGTTGCTTCTTGTATGGGATTGAACCCAAAACCTTGGCATATTGGGACGATGCCCTAACCAACTGAGCTAACCAGCCATGGCTACTTTCTAATTTCATTTCCTTTTCTGTACAATGAGATAATAATACTTATTGAACAAATACTGTGAAGATTAAATGAGAGGATCTCTGAAAAGCTGCGTAGCAGCACAGTGTCTGGTACATACCAAGACGAGATGAATGTTCACGTGATATAATAAATATCAAGGATGCTAACCTTTCTCAGACAATACTTCTATCTCCGTTGCTGTACGATAAGGACCACACATTACACTTGTAGTTACAGTTGAGTGCATTACTCTGGAGAAGGGGGTGTTTCTCCTCAGAGCCAACTGTTCTGCTGTGATTTCTGACTAAAAGCAAGTATCCGTGCTGAGTGCTCTAAAATGACGCACACACTCCAGCTGACAGACCTGCAGCTCTGTCTCTGCAAGGTGCCACGGCTCCCTGAAACCATCCGCGCTCCATCCAGGTACCACTTCTCAGCCTGTGATAAGCAGGGTTACACAGAGGAATCGTAAACGTTTAGGAAGTCAACGTGTTTCCAACAAACTGACTGACTGACAGGAGGTCACAGAGAAGTAGTCCCAGCCCTCAAGGAGTGTGTAACAAACTCTAGGAGACAAAACCAATGCACATAAGCCACAGACAGCAGAAGACAGGTTAGAAGGGTGGAGGCTATCAAAGGGGAGAGCAGCTGAAACCTGTTTGGCTCAGTGGATAGAGCTTCGGCCTCCAGACTGAAAGGTCCCAGGTTCGATTCCGGCCAAGGGCATGGACCTTGGTTGCGGGCACGTCCCCAGTGGGGGGTGTGCAGGAGGCAGCTGGTCGATGTTTCTGTCTCATCGATGTTTCTAACTCTTTATCCCTTTCTCTTCCTCTCTGTAAAAAATAAATAAAATTTAGAAAAGTGGAGAGCAGACCCCCAGGGATTCAGAAGCCTGGAGGAGGGGAGAAAGGCCCCGGGCTCTCAGGGACGGTTTAGGGGCCAGGGCGTGGACTCGCGTCTGCCACAAAGATCATTGCGAATCCACCTACCCGCCCTAGCAGACGTCAAGCTTTGGGGGCAGTGGTGTTCTCGTCATTTTTGTTGCCAGCCCCTAACTCAGCGGAGGGGGGGAAAGGAGGAAGGAAGTTGGGAGAGACATAGAAGGAGGACGAAGTTTACAAAGAAAGACAGAGAAGGAGGATCTACCATGACCCGCACCCCAACATCACCCTTTCCACACCCCACCTGTCACTGCACCTTCCAACAATGCAAGTGACTTGCAGTCCTCACGAAACCTTCTGTTTTCCACTTTTCTTTTTAAATATATTTTATTTGTTTTTTACAGAGAGGAAGAGAGAGGGATTGAGAGTTAGAAACATTGATGAGAATCATCGATCAGCTACCTCTTGCACACCCCCCACTGGGGATGTGCCCGCAACCAAGGTACATGCCCCTGACCGGAATCAGAATCGAACCTGGGACCTGTCAGTCCGCAGGCTGACGCTCTATCCACTGAGCCAAACCGGTTTCGGCTTCCACTTTTCTTTCCTATTTTCTCTGCTTAAATTAAAACAGTATACTGTGATGCCCACCCCAAAATATAAAAGTAGCCCTCGCTGGTTTGGCTCAGTGGATAGAGCGTCAGCCTGTGGACCAAAGGGTCCCAGGTTCAATTTCATTCAAGGGCACATACCTTCATTATAGGCTCCTCTGAGCCTGGTGCAGGCTCGTTCAGGAGGCAACAATCAATGCCTCTCACAACGACACTCTCTCTTC